CCCTGCTTCAGCTCTCGCTGGTCGGGCTGCAACAGCTGACCAGCACCGATTGTCCGGCACTCCCCAGTGAGATGAACCCAGTACCTCAGTTGATAATGCAGAAATCACCTGCCTTCTGTGTCGCTCACGCTGGGAGCTGGAGACTGGAGCTGTTCCTATTCGGCTATCTTGCTCCGCCCGACTACATGCACTATTATAGTGGATATATGAGGCACTCAAGTATCTCCCCCTTCCTTCTGGGACCACTAGCTTAAATTAATTTTGAGTAACTATCCTCCCCCCATCATTAGCTGTAAGTCGATATTAGTGAATTGTTCAAGATAAGCACATAACCTAACCAAAGTCAGTATGACTAAAGGAGACCCTCTGCTAGTATTTCTGGAGAAAAGAAGCTTGGTGCAGGCTTGCATTTTCCCTTACTTTCATCCCCCTTTTCCTTCTTCCATTCCCCTACTCCCTCTTTCCCTCCCTTCCTTTCTCCCCAAAGGTACAATAGAGAAGACCATCATTCTTCTCCAGAATATGGGGGTATGAAGATGTAAAACTTAGAGCTAAAGGAATAGAGAGGATGGTATGAATGGAACCTGAGAATGAAGAGAACAAGAGGGAGTACAGTCAAGAAATGGGGCCTGAAGACTATTTGACCCCTGAATCAAAATACGCCTGGACTTTGTAGTCATGTATGCCTGTTTAGGTTGCATTTTTTTGGTCACTTCAGGTCACTTTTTTATCCTAAACCCTACAGCTAAAACCTTATACTGGTGTCTAGTCTTCAGACTTCAAGCACCATTTTTACTGAATAAGTTCCAGCAACTACTTGTCACAAAGTCCGTCAGTTTTAAGACTAAAATTTTCCCTTTAAAACTTTTATCTTCCAAAACATATTCTAGAATCATGTTCATTCATAATATGTAACTGAATACTGACAGAAACAAACTCAGCTCAGCACACACTCAATTTCCAAGTCTTACAAACTCTGAAGAAAAGAGAAACTGAAGAAATATTCAATACTTTGAAAAGATGACTAAAGCAAAAAGTTAGAGAGGAATAAAAGTATAAAACACAGAATAACACCCAGATATTTCTTTTTCCTGGCATTATGCTCCCCAGTTTTCAGATTTTTAAGTGTCTTTCTGGAATGACAGCTATTTGTGATCCAGCTAGTCAATATTCCTTGTGGTACTGTACTGGCCAATGACTTAATTAATCATTAAAACAAACCAGTTACCTAATTCAATCTAATTCTGATGAAAAACACAGAATTTAACCTCTGGAATATCACACTCCTCTAATATCCAACTGTTTAAACATGTAATTTCATTTCTAAAAACTGAAAAAAAATTAACTTACCTCAATTGTTTCGCATAGTTCTGTTCAATTTCTATCCTCTCTTTAACAAATTTGGCATATCTTTCCAAGAAGTCAATTCCCCATTGTGTATGCTTGTCTAAGCTGTCAAACTGATCCTAGAAAAGGAAGATAAAAATGCATTTTAAAAAGTCCAAAATTTTATCCACATATATTTTAAACAGCTTCTGATATTTGTACGGAGAAGCAATGAGGTATAAAAGGAAAAACCCAGGCTCATCTACTAGTTCCCTCACTTCGCCCGTTAAGACCTAGAAACAGGTCCCTAAGCATAAATCTTGCTACTTTATGCCTGAATGTCTTTGCAAACATGGCTCTCCCAGTTGCAATACCCTCCCCTGTTCAGCTTTTTGCAGTCAACTCTTCCCCAAATCCCCCCTACCCTGGCCTTTGAGATTCAGTTCAGGCATTATGTCTGCCAGAAAATGGTTCTAAACTCTCAGACTTTCTCCATGTCCCCAAGGCTCCCTAAAACTACTATCTTATTCGTTCGCTATACTATATTGAGGGCCAGAATCATGCATTATTCAATTCTGAACTCCCACAGCCTAAGCACCATGCTTGGTACCATAGCAGGTACTCAACGAATAATTATTTAGCTGGACAAAATCAAATATACCTGAGTTCAAATTCTGGGATCTGCCATTTCCGAGATGTTTGAAACTGCGCAAGCTAACAAGGCTCCTTGAATGTTTTCCCATCTTAAAATGGAAATCCCATCACCCACTTAACAGGATTGTGGTGATGTTATTAAACATGTTCTGCAATGCAGGAAATATGATAATGACATATAATAGAGTATCACTGTCCTACAAGGCTCTTTCAGTCCTCACAGATGCCACCTCCTGCCAGAGAAACCACCATTTCCCTTGCTTTAACAACAAGCTCCAAACTGACTAATAACTTGGTGCTGTCTTCCTCTCATATATCAAGTCTGCAGTGCTGAAAAAATATTCAAGTATCATCCCTTTCCATATTTACAGCTTGTTTTAAAATCACTTGTGGTTTAGTCACATTATTTACAAATTATCTCCTTTTGACTTTTATCTCTTTCTCTACCTTAAACCATCAAAAAGAAATTCTAAAAGCAAGTTGCCACTCTAATACTATTCTTCCAAGAAGCTTTCTGATTATCATCTGGTTTTCAAAATATATTTGAATACAGCAAGAAAATGCATTGCTCAGTAAACTCAATCTGCATAATATTAACTACTGTAAATTAGAATTCTCATCAAACTGAAACTGAAATACACTCAATGAAAAACAATTCCAAAAAAAAAAAACACTTCAAAGCTGAAACAATCTTCCTTTATTTTTCTAAATTGCTTCAAAGGCTTCTCTTCCCACAATCTTCTTCACCAAATTTTATATTACGCTTCTTTATCCTCTAGATTAAGTCTCCAAATTTTAAATTCCAAACCCCATCAGTAAAAAACCTGAACAAAAACTATATGTAGTTATTTATATATTAAATGATATACTATTGAATTATGTAGTTATGAAATCCACAATAGAAATTTTAAAAAGAGATGAAAATGAAATGAACATTATTTTTAAACAGTTTTTTTTTTTTTTTTTTAACATATTTGACAAACAAAAGCCTTTGAGCAATGACTTTTAAAATATTATGGCCAGGCGCAGTGGCTCAAGCCTGTAATCCCAGCACTTTGGGAGGCCGAGGTGGGTGGATCACTTGAGGTCCGGCGTTCGAGGCCAGCCTGGTTAACATGGTGAAACCCTGTCTCCATTAAAAACACAAAAACTGGCCAGGCGTGGTGGCGCACACTTGTGGTCCCAGTTACTCAGGAGGCTGAGGCAGGAGAATGGCGTGAACCCGGGAGGCGGAGCTTGCAGTGAGCTGAGAGCGCACCACTGCACTCCAGCCTGGGTGACAGAGCAAGACTCTGTCTCAAAAAAAAAAAAAAAAAAGGTTCAAACCCCACTGAAACTAATTGTGATTACTAACTTTATGTGTCATCTAGGCTGTGCAACTGTGCCCAGATATTTACTTGGTTAAACATTATTCTGGATGTTTCTGTGAAGGTGTTTTTTAGATGAAATTAACATTTAGGCCAGGTACAGTGGCTCATGCCTATAATCCCGGCACTTGAGAAGGCCTGGATGGGAGACTCACTCAAGGCCAGGAGTTCAAGATCAGCCTGGGCAACACAGCAAGACCCTGTCTCTACAAAACATAAAAAAGGCTAGGTGGCACACATATGTAATCCCAGAACTTTGGAAGGCTGAAGCAAGAGAATCTCTTGAGCTCAGGAGTTCAAGACCAGCCTTAGCAACATGTTAAGACCCAATCTTTAACAATTAGCCAGGCATGTTAGTACATGCTTGTAATTCCAGCTACCTGGGAGACTGAAGTAGAAGAATTGTTTGAGCCCAGAAGGTCATGACTGCACTTCAGCCAGGGTAAGAGAGCAAGACCCTGTCGCAAAAATAAATATTAATAATAAATAAATAAATAAAATTAGCCAGGTGAAAGGCGGAGGTGGGCGGATCCCTTGAGTCCAGGAATTCAAGTTACAGTGAGCTGTAACTGTGTCACTACACTCCAGCCTGGGTGACAGTGAGATCCTGTCCACAGGAAAGGAAGGAAAAAGAAAGAAGAGGGGAGTGGGGAGGGGGAGAAGGCAAGAGGGAAGGAAAAAATTAATATTTAAATAGGTGAATTTTAAATAAAGCAGATTATGCTCCAAAATGGGTGAGTGGGCCTCATCTAATCAGTTGAAGTCTTTCACTGAACAGAATGACCTTCCCCCAGCAAGAAAGAATTCTGCCAGAATACTGACTTTGGTCTGAAACTACAATTGTTCCCTGGGCCTACCCTGCAGATCCCAAGCTTCCACAATCACATGAGTCAATTTCTTAAAAGAAATTTCTCTCTCTATGTGTATATATCCTGTTGATTATCTGTCTCTGGAGAATCCTGACTAAAACACTGACTTTACAACAAGTAAAAAATTTCTGTTTCTAAGAATTTTAAGTGTACAGACAAAATAATATTTGTAGGTGACACAGATCATTTTCAGCAACAAAATTATATAATGAATACATTTCCAAATATTCATCATCAAAATGCTTTCTATATAGCTCAAATTTCTTTGGAAAAGCAGCTATTCAGTCACCATTAAAACTTCTCTTTTATCTTGAAGGCACAGATTAAATTTTCTCAAAAATACCTGGTAGCATACTAGTTAAAGAAAAATGTCAACAAATTTGAAACAGCCAGGAGATAGCAAACCTGTATTAAACAAAGATTTTTCAATTGTCTCTCCCTGTTTCATCTGGAAACACTGTAGTCTTAAAGGTATTATTTTTATAAAACTAATCATAGCAAAAATATAACTTAATATTTTGTGAACTTCCTGCTTTAGTTTTCTTTGCTTACCTACAAATGAAGTGAATAAATTCCAACCTTATTCCAATTTCCTTTTTAAAACTCCAGCCAACACACTACTTTACCAGTGGTTAATACATTTACTGTTAAGAATAAATCTTTTTCAACACATCTTTCCATCAGTGGGTCACAAAAAGGTAGTTTTAAACATAACTGCTTTATTGAAACATTATTCATTATTGAAACAATCTAGACATTATAAGCTGAGAAATGTTGGAAACATCTGTACTTTAATGAAACTGTACAACCAACTTTCTGTGTGAAATCTTTTCTAAAAACTATTTCCATTTTTCCATATGGCCTAAGAGTATTTGCTGAGATAATTTATTTTGCTCCCATATTTTACACATATAATATCACTATTCTCACCACAAAAGGAAGAGCTAGTGCTAATGATTTGATACCATTTGGCTGTGTCCCCACCCAAATCTCATCTCAAATTGTAATAATCCCCACATGTCATGGGATGGACCTTATGGGAAGTAATTGAATCATGGGGGCAGGTTTTTCCCTTGCTGTTCTCATGACAGTGAATAAGTCTCACCAGATCTGATGGTTTTATAAAGGGGAGTTCCCTTGCAAATGCTCTCTTGCCTGCTGCCATGTAAGATGTGACTTTGCTCCTCATTCGCCTTCCACCATGATTGTGTGGCCTCCCCACCCATGTGGAACTGTGAGTCAATTAAACCTCTTTCCTTTATAAATTACCCAGTCTCGGATGTCTTTATTAGCAGCGTGCGAACAGACTAATACAGCTATGTAGTAAGAAATGCAGACATTTTGTCTCCACCGCTGATTCCTGAAACAGAGCTTCTAAAACGCTTGGAACTCCATGAGTCATGGAGTAAGAGGAGCATCTTTTGTTATTCATAATAACCCCCTTTCAATCATACCTAAATTTATGCTAATGCGGTGACTTTGAAGGACAAGGACTGGTTGCTAGAGGAACCAATCAAGTGATTTGAGGGTTGAAACTTTCAGCTCTCCCTACCCTCAAGTCTCCTGGGAAAGGAGAAGGGATGGAGATTGAATTCAATCAACAATAACTAACGATTTAATCAATCACACCTATGTAATGGAGCCTCCACAAAAACCCTAAACCATGGGTTTGGAAACCTTCTGGGTAGGTGAACACATCCACTTGCAGTGCATCTCAACTCCACAGGAACAAAACGTCATGCATCTTGGGTCTTTCCAAAGCTCACCCTAGGTACCTCTTCATCTAGCTGTTCATCTGTGTCCTTTATAATATCCTTTGTAATAAACCAGTAATAGTAAATAAAGTGTTTCCCTGAGTTCTGTAAGCCGTTACAGCAAATTATCAAACCGGAGGAGGGGGTCACAGGAACCCCTGATTTGTAGCCAAGTCAGTCGAGTACCCAGAAGTCCAGGACCTGCAATTGATGCTTGAAGTCCAGGCAGTACTATGGAACTGAACCCTTCAACTGTAGGGTCTGTACCAACTCCAGACATATAGTGACAAAACTGAACTATAAGACATCTAGTTAGTGTCCAGAGAGTTGAAGAACTGGTTGTTCAAGTGGAAAAAACTCATGTTTGGTGTCAGAAGGAACAATTTTTCCTTTTAGCAAGAATATTTCTAATAGTGTACTGTCTTTCACCACTAAGTTCAAAATTTCAAGACACTTTCCAGTAACACATATTCATATCATAGCAGCATTATGGAAG